AAACTTGAATAAATAGTAAATAAACATTTTCTAACAAAAAGTGCAAAGTAACAAGCAGAAAAAAAGAAAAAAAATGCACAAAGAACTTGTATGCAGATTTTTCCATCTACAGATTTTTCCCTGACCTTCTTTTCTCTGTAATTTAAGGGTGCACACTATTGCTGGAAAACACAATCACTACTTAGCAGTCAGATGTCTGTATGCACAAAGGGACAGAGATCCCTAAAAAAGACCATATCTGCAGATGAAACTTTGTTTGTAGAAGCATTTTTAAAATTTGAAATAGCACCTCATGACTACACCACGTTATGTACGAGAAGCTGCAAAAGACACAGGTGGTGGCATTAATTTTTAGGTAAATATAATGGGCAATATATTGTCACCAAAAATTATTGAGGTCATGTACATACAGTGGGGCAAAAAAGTATTTAGTCAGCCACCAATTGTGCAAGTTCTCCCACTTAAAAAGATGAGAGAGGCCTGTAATTTTCATCATAGGTATACCTCAACTATGAGAGACAAAATGAGAAGAAAAAAAATCCAGAAAATCACATTGTAGGATTTTTAAAGAATTAATTGGTAAATTCCTTGGTAAAATAAGTATTTGGTCACCTACAAACAAGCAAGATTTCTGGCTCTCACAGACCTGTAACTTCTTCTTTAAGAGGCTCCTCTGTCCTCCACTCGTTACCTGTATTAATGGCATCTGTTTGAATTCGTTAATTCATCATTTAATGGCATCTGACTTACTTTTTTCTGGGGAACACAAAAGAAGATATTTTGAAAAATGTTGACAGCCAAACAGTTTTGGTTCCCATTGACTTCCATTGTATTTTTGTTCAGGTGCTAACTTATTTTAAAGGTGACATATCATGAAAATCTGACTTTTCCAGGTTTTAAGTGCAATAATCAGGTCCCCGGTGCATCTACCAATCAAGGAAACGTGGAAAAGATTAACTCAGTAACTTTGTTTTGATAAGCTTTTTTCTGCAAGTGTCTGAAAAAAACGAGCGCGTCTGATTTCGAGGAGACAACAGAATAGTGGATTTATTGATTTATTTACTGTATATTGCTGCTGCCACACAGATCTAAAATAAACATGTGATTTATTTCCCAGCTGTTTACCTTCACAGACATAACCGACTGTTTTTGTAACTCGTGTGTTTTTAACGTAAACTTGTGTGAAAAATAACTTAGTTTAGTACTCGCATGCTGTGACAGCCGCTTTCTGTCCGTGTGCTTCGGATGTGTGCACTCAGAAAACAGTATATCAGAAGTTTAAACTCATATGGCTTAAAACGCATGATTTCAGCGAGATAAACATGATAATCAGAACCAAAAGAGATGTTTTTTAGCAGGTACGAGCTCTATTCTGGAAAAGGGGGCGGGGAGCAGCAGCTCATTTGCATTTAAAGAGACATGCTCTAATACAGCATCCACTCAAAATAGGCATTTTCAAAATGATATAATAAATGATCTGTGGGGTATTTTGAGCTAAAATTTCACAGTTACATTCTGGGGACCAGGATTTTTGCATAGACCATCCCTTTAAATGCAATGTCTCAAATTATTCAGGACTGCATGAGGGAGACCTCTATTAGTGTAAGGATACTAATATATTCTTTCCATTTATGTTTCTTTGTCTTTGTAAAATCAGATTAGCACCACTTGAAATCCCTTAAAGCAACAGAATCAGTGTGAAGGAAAGTAACAAACTTAGTTTAAACCCGGGGCAAGAAGTCTTGCAGTTTCTCACGGCTCTGCTGCTGTTTGGAGCTCTGTGTGCTTGCCAGCTACAGCAAACATTGATTGGCTGATTAAGCACAAATTGATTAGCAGGCTCTCATTAGCATGCCATTAGCAATGACCTATACCTAGCAAGACACATCGCACCCTGACTCAAATGGATTAACAAGCACAGCAATCCCAACCACGGACAGAAAATCTGTGAACACTTCTCTAAAATCCAGAAATCGATGGAATTCACATTATTAACCCCCGACGGACATAAAACAGCGCTCTAATGCCGCATCATGGGTGCAAAGACCCATTTTAATATTTGCATTTATTTACATTAACAATAAGCTGGTCAACCTCTACGTCCTTGAATCCGTCCAAACACACCGCATGACTGCTATTTCAATATTGCAATCCTTTCCATCAACAAACAACGAGACATTTATTTTCAGCAGAAGGACAATAGCAATGTACCGAGAGCATGCTTTGCTTTTGAACAGACAGGCCTCGGGACTTTATATTTGAATAGATCTAATAAAACAAATATTCAGAAGAACAACAAGACAAGGCTGATATTTTCATTCGCTGGGAAATGATATGCTCTAATATGCAGATGGATGACAGGTCACGCAGTCGCCAGTTCCTAATGTTATTACCTATGAACATCTTAAAGAGCTCCATCCTCCCAACAGAAACATACACTCTTCAAAATCCCATTAAATAGCCTGCTTTCTGTTCTGTGTTGATGTATTTCCTATTTTCTAATACATCGACACATCTGTTGATGTACACATCTATACATCTGTTTTTTAATTAGTTTGTTCTAAAGGCAAAACTTACTTAGCTTGTAAGCTCTCCAAAGCGTTGTCATATAATATAACATTTACCTTTATTGATCCAATAAGCCATGCATTTCAGTTAATCTTATTGTTTTTTTTTCCAAACTTGATTTGCCTCATGTAACTGCCTCATGTAGAAAGCATTTGATTGGCCAAATATTTGCAATGCCTCTGAGTGCAGGATGAGTCAGCGATAATTTTGCTTTGAGTATATTTATATTTAATTATACTAATTTTTAGGGCTGGGTTTTGACAAATTTCACGATTCAATTCGATTCTCATTCACAAGATTGTGATTCAATTCGATTCAATATCAGTTATTTTGGATATATATCAGGTAGTACAGTACATGCCAAATTTTATCAAAGAAAACAATCTCTCAACCAATGCTGTAAAATATACATGAGAGTCAGTTGGTACTACATTACTATAATATGGAAGGTTAAAATTGACTGATTTGTTAAAATTACACTTCATGAAGTTTTAAAAATAATAAAGTTACAATTACATAATAATA